TTATTATTAGAAATTAAACAGTATCTTCCCAAATTCTTTTTAACACTGGACAACCAAAAATCATTCATGCCTGGTGTTATCTGTGATTCCAAGAATGGAGTGAATGTCAGAATGAAACTGAATGAAAGGAATATCAAGAATAGGACACAAGGTTTTAGAAGCCATTCTGCCCTTTACAACTAGAAGTAAAACAGTTGCATTAAAAAAAAAATTTTTTTTTTTTTTTTAAACTTGTCTAGCAATGCCTCTGCGGTTTACTAAATATGACTCATTGAAAAACAATCACAACCTATTAAATTGATATTGGCAATAACAGCGTTACAATTACAGATAATCAGTATCTGTTACAATGCGACGTAACTGATATTTCCAGAACAAACCAAAACAGTAAACTGTGACAATACCAGACCATTACACCCTATCAACCACAAAGCCATGGTGAGCATTAAAGAATACCACCAGACCGGGGTCTCAATCCTATGAAAACACTCCTTATAAATACAGGTCACATTAAAGTTATAAATGTAGATGAAGGGCAGTTAAGAGCTTCTTACTGTTTTCTGGAACTAGCAAGTTTGTCAAAATGCAAAGCAAGCCAACATGAACAAAGAAAGTTGACATACACACTCCACAAACACACACCCACCCTATTATATATTAATTACCAAAACTTTCAGCACTTCCATCCTAAACACACACGGCTGGTTTACCAACACCACCCAATGAAGTAAATATTTTTCTGCTGCTTTTAACCCTCTACCGCTGATCTCACTATCCATACCATACGCTTGACCATCTAATACAAATAATGAAAGCAACTGTACAGTTATTACACAGTGTTCATAGGCAGGGACAGGGAAATGAAAAGTAAAATCACCTGATTATTCTTGGTGCACCCGTTTTTTATCCCCTGTCTGCTACCAATGGGGTGCTCCAAAGAGATACACTGGTAAAGAAAATGGCAAGGGAAGAAAGTATGATATAGAACTCCAATGAGACAGAAACAAAGCCACAAAAATTGCTACTAGATCTACATTTAGGCATTCTAGGATTTAATGCAAAGCAATATAAGCAGCTGGTTGCGGTAGAGGGCTAAAACGCAGCTCTACGTACAAGTACACAAAATCCTAAACGAAAACAGAGGTGCTTGCTGTGAAAGAGAGGAGGGGTTATTTTTTAAGTGGAAGTCCGTCCAGGTCCTTCAGAGCATGAACATTGATTGAAACAGTCATGTGGGTATGGAGTGAAAAGGATAATCAGAAGGGCTGACATATCAGGAAGCCTGTGAGAACATCTCTGAGCCTGGAGAGGTTAAGGGTACTTGATCCTTGTTTTGAAACCCACCTGTTCCGCACCCACCTGTTCCTGCAGCTCGGCGAGCCGGGTGGCCCTCTCCTCCTCGGAGTCGGAGCTGTCAGAGGTGGAGTCGCCGCCACTGCTCTCACTGCTGACAGTACTCTTACTGACCACACCGGCCCCGCCTACACCACCTGCCCCGGCCACCTCCACTGGCTCATCGGGCATCTTTGCAAAACGCATTTCAAACACATCCTGAAAGATAAAAAGACAACGTCATTAAACAATTCAATCTTTTAAATAAAGAAATTAAAAGAATATATTGCCAAAAGGGAGAGGAACAGACCTGCAGCTTTCTGGCCATAGCAACCACCTCATGATCAGGTGGGTTGTACTTGTAACAATTTGAGAACATTAATCGGACATCTGAAGCAAAACTCTGTGCATCTTGGTACTCTCGACTGTCCATTTTTTTCTGCAAGCAAATAAAAAAAATTAGATTCAAAAACTAGCTGAACCACAATTCCTTGTGACAAAACTAAAAATCAAGACATTGTAACTTTGTGTGCAAACTCAACATACTTTCACTGTGCTCAAGTCCATGGGGTATTTGATTATTTCATGGTAGTCATGTAGCTCGAGAGCCTCTGCGTCAACAGGCTTGTAAAAAGGCCAGGCATATGCAGCATGCTTTTTCGAAAGCATTTCTTTAAGGATGACCTCGCAGTACTTGAGCTGCTCTGAAAGCCTGCCCTTTTTGCTTCCGTGTACGCCTAGTTCGCCATCCTCAAAATCCTTTTTAGGGGGTTTGATGGGGCGACCGGTGCTCTCTCGCCTGGCCGCCACTTTGCCCTGTTTGCCTTCTGAAAGAGGGGTGGGTGACTGGCTCCTGCTGGCGGTGATGGCAGAGGTAGTAGGGGTGGTTGTGTCGGCTTTCCGCTTTACCCCCTTCTTCTAGGAAACAAAACAAACAACACACAGGGACACACAAAGCCGATGGTGAGGCAATGTCAGTGTTTTTATATTAAGTGATATTCTAAGAGGTCCAGCAACTTACTTTGAGATTGGGTTGCGACAGAGGCATGCCGGGTATCATGGCGGCAGTGGTTGTGTTCTGTACAGCTGGTAAGCTAGGGGTGATGGTGGGCACTGGAGCTGGAGACACGACTGCTGTCTGTGAACTCGGTGAGGTTGCACCAGGGGAAACAGAAGTGGGCGAGCCAGAAGAGACAGCCCCATCCTGCTGATCTGCATTTAAATGATTAGAAAAAGAATGCTTCGTTTTCTGCTAAAACGTTAACGCAGAATGTTATGATCAATTCGTCATGCAGACTATTTAAATTTTACCAGGCCCTGCTGGTTTGCGCCCTTTGCCCTTCGGGGCAGGAGGAAGAAGCTCAACCTCCTCCTGAGGCATCAGGGCCACCTTCTGAAGGAAGATCTTCTCTAATGCTTGTGCCATTAACACAATGTCATCTGTTGGCTGAGAAAACCAACAAGGAATAAAAAAGGATTGCATTTGCCAAAGCAGCCTCTCCTCCAAACATGTATAGTGTAAACACATTGATTTTTTTTTAAACCAGATTGTGCCAAGCCATACCTTGTTGTAAATATAACAGTTTGTGAACATTGTGTTGAAGTCCTGCATACACTCGCTTGCACTCCAGTAGTACACATTCTCCAGTCTTTTCTTGATGGTGCCCATGTCCATTTGATTCTTTATGATCGTGTGATAGTCCTGGACACACACAAAAAAGCAGTAAGTCTTTCAAACAAACCAAAGCTTCAATGTCACATTTTAATATCAAACCAACTAAGTGGCAAGTTCTCATTCTCAAAGGAAAACTCAAGTAACAGAACCTAGATTTGTAATTGTTCAAAATGATGGATAGTAAGATAGCCACCTTCATTCATGACACTGAAACTTCTCTATCACATCCACTCACCGGAAGACCAAGTTGAATGGCATCAACAGGCTGGTAGAAAGGCCATGCAAACTGGTGCCTCCACAGTGTCTTGACAACTACATTTTGCATGTATTGCAGCTGGTTAGTCTTGCGGCCAGGTTTGGTAGGGTTGGTCACCTCAGGGGGAGGAGGGTTGATGACTGCAGGAGCTTCTGGGTTTGCTGAAGTGACCGTTGACATTTTGGCAAAAAAGGGGAAAACAGCTTAATGGAGAAGGGGTCTTTATTATTCTGCACAGGCAGACTTATTTTTGATTTTCAATGTGCTTTCTCTTTATGCTTTTCGGATTCTCTCTCTTTAAGCGCTTCAGTCATCTGAGAGGGACCACATCCCATTGCAGTACCCGAACTTTGACCTCTAAAAACAAGAAACATGACATAAGTCAAAGCATTATGCGGTTTAAAGTAAAGACAAACAATACTGCAACTGCATAAAAACATTAATTTAAGCCACAATGAAGTGAAAGCAACAACACATCTTTTATTCCGCATTGACATACATTTATCAGAAAAGGAAAAAGAAAAGTAGGGACTATCAAAATGAACACTTCCATGTTTATGAAGCCAATCTTTGAGCAAATACAGTCTACCCAGTCGAGCTTTCAGTTGAACAGAGACAGCTATGCCATGCACAGATTCCATATTCCACAACCATAGATATGTATAGGTAGATTCCCCATTCGACTGCGTCAAGCACGTAGACACATGGTCAACTTGACGTCATTCACCATAATAATCAATGAATATTCGAAGATGCTACTACAATCCTGCACAGCCGATGGTTGTAAAAACTGCTGGGATTTAAATTCCCGAAGAAACGGGATAACCTTTCACAGGTGAGAATGTGTTGGTTTGTGTTTTTAAATGTATTAACTCAATATTACAAGTTTTGAAACATTGGTAACTTATGTTACTGTTATGGTGAATGACGTCAAGTTGACCCTTCGAACATAGCAGATGGCTTAAATATAGTGGCCCATAGTAACAGTCGCAAATGAGGCATCCATGTATACATATCTATGTGTACAACACCCTGTATTATAGATTGGAAAAAAACAACAACAGCAACATCCCCACAGAAAAGTCTGTCCTTTCATTTGAAGATCAACTTATGACATTTTGATAAAAAAAATAATAATAATAACATGTTTAAAGCTAATCTTAAATTTAACATGCAGGAATGATCCATTCATAAGATTAATAACATGCATTTAGGAAATACATGGGGTGTGTTTTCATGTCATGCCAAGATCACCCTCCATCCAAAACAAAAAACTGTCTCAATTTGTAAAGAATCCCATATAATTTGTAAAAACTGAGCTATTAATACATTAGCTGGCAGGTAATAACATGATGTTCATTCTGAGCTGGAAACAATTGTGGTTTTCTGTTGTTGACATGTCAAATAACACACTATTTTCAAATCCTTCCCTGTAAGCATTTACTTAAGAAAATCCTGTGGTGATTTAATCTTGTTGTTCCAAGCCTGCATGACTTACTTTCCTTTGTAGAATAAAAAAGTAGATGTGCAGAATGACAGTCTTAGTCACCATTCATTTTTATTTTATGAAAAAAATTGCAATGAAAGTAAATGGTGATTCAGACATTTCCTGAGAAGGAAAAAAAAAGTCATACAGGTTTGAAACACCTTGGGTATAAGTAAATGATGACAGAATGGTTTTAACTAAATATTTAACTACTCATTTTCATCGGCTAATCTTAATGAGTGCACATGTGTGTAGTTGTTAGAAACGGCAGCATCAGTCGCAGCATTACCGCGTAAACAATCACGCTGCCGCACCGGACTAGGTCCACTTAATATTTCCAAATAAAATTACCTCTTTTTAAAACAATTAAAAAAAAAAAAAAAGTTTACTAACAGAAAGAGTACGAAAACCTAGACGGCTATATACAACACTAGTTTCATTCTCACCTAACTGCCGCACACATATGCCACGACTATGAAAGCAATAAATCAACCTGAATTGTTCCCAACACAGCATTTATTTTCATCCAGCCTCCGACCACAAATATAGCCATCAGGTAGCATATACACGAAATAAATTGCCTCCTGTTGTATTAGTGCGTGTGTTGGAGGGAAATAGCGCGGGTGCGCTGAACTGAGCAGCTGATTAGCTTTAGCACAGGCAGTCACTCACGTAAAGATGGCGCGCAGCTGCAGCTGGCTAACCGAGTTAGCATCCACACTGACCGCCTCAACACCTTCCCGAGACGCTGTTATTGATTTACACCCAAGCAGAATATACAGAAATATAGATTATACATATATAAATAGGATTACAACGGTTTAGCGGGTAAACAAGTTAATTTGGCCAAGTTATTTCAGCGAGGCTTTGTTGTACTGTCGCTTTGTTGAAAACAACTAGCCACTCGCTAACGGCTTCTCGTGAGATTCACTGATTGAACGCGATCTCTATAAAAATACTGACATGAAATCCTTATTAATATGCTAAAACGCGTTGTTTAAATAAAAACGTAGTAATCTACTCACTCAGGAGCTTCAGGAGAAGGGCTAGCGTGTGGTAATCTCAGTGGCTCGTCGCTTGTTTGGAGGCTGTGCAGCAGCACAGAGATGAGGTACGCGGAGTGTTGTGCGCATGCGCAGTGGCGTGCTATGACCAACGCCAACCATCTGCTGTTTTTACTAGTCCGACCTTTTTATAATTTTAATAATTTTATATAAAAACTATTTTTATTTATTTAAATGCAAGTTATTTATTTATTTATGTCCACAAACCCCCTAGAACCCCCTTGTAGCCCCCGGGGGGGTCCTCCACACCCAGTTTGAAATCCCCAGATCTATAAAAAATATATATATATATATATTTTTGCCCAGCACTTTACTATCTAAATATCACTGAATATATCACTAAAATACCACAGATCTGGGCTGCGTTTCTCAAAAGCATCGTTAGTTAAGTTGATCGAAGATACCATTGGTTTCTGTCAAATGATGGAGCACAGTGACACTTTGATACATACCATTCAGCTGAATTATGTACCATGCTCCCCAAAGTTAAAACACTTTAATATTGCTACGTCTAATATAATCCTAGCCTAATTTATTCATTTGTTCAAAGAACTCTCTGTTTACTGTAATGGAAATAGTTATATTTTTATATGCATTGTTTATAGTGTGATATAGCTACATGTTTAGAACAATAATAAAATATCTGGTAGATCTGCTTGCAAGTAATAAAATCAGCGTCTAAAAGCCTCTAGCTCATTATAATAACTGATACTGCCAAATGGTGCACGGTAGTCAGGCTCAGCGTTTGAAAAAATATCTCCCTCTTGGGCCGCCGTTGAGATCTGCGCGTGCGCAGTAGATGTTACTGCCACATTACCGCCTGAACCTGCGGTGGAGAGGCGCTCATACACCATCGCATTCAGCACGATTACTAGCTCACTGCACAGTCAGAACGGCCTGTCGCGCGATTCATGAACACATCTTTATCCAAACCCAGCAGTGGACTCATCCCAGAAGCCGAGAGCAGCTTTTATTACCCCTTCAGCAGCCCCCGGTGTGTGAGTTTACGCGCTGCTTTTGTTGTCTGAATGTATGGGGAGAGAGAGAGAGGCATGTGTGCAGAGAAAAGAGATCCATCAGTCTGTACTTTATTTACTGTATTGTGGATGGGACGGATGAGCGAAACGATCGCGGTAAACCATGACTTTAGACACGAAGATGCGTAAATCATATGGATAAATGCGTTGCAGGTGATCTATGGTTTCTCTGAGGCCCTGCGTCTCGCTGATAGCCTAGCAGCTAACAGTATGGTGTTTTTACAGATCTTCCTCTGACACAGACACGAGATCTTAGCTTTGGTGTTTATCCGGATGTTTTTAGACTTCAGTCAGTTTCACATTGTCGTCAGTCTTGTCAAGAATGTTGTCTGTGCAGATGAAACACTGTTTTATCAGACTTTAGGATTATTATCTTTATGTAAGTGTAACTGATTATTCTATGTGTATGCTAGTAGCAAATTAAATGCGTAGGTGGCTTATTTAATACAGTACAAAGTGAACAAAATACTATTATATATTTCTATATAATATATATTTTTATTAAAAAATAAAAATTAT